GCCAACCCCACAAACAAACAGACACGCTCCCTCCAAAAACACAAACCAAACCAAACCATTGTATGCATATTTTGTGCTAACAGGCTTGTTTGTTGTTTTTTTTCTCCAGTCCCCTCTTTTCCTTCCCTTTCTTCCTCCTGCAGAGTTTGCCATACACAAGGATGGATTTCACGGAGGCCTATTCCGATCGGTGTTCTGCTGTGGGGCTTGCAGCCAGAGAAGGAAATGTGAAAATGCTGAGGAAACTAATTAAGCAGGGATATAGCATCGATGTTCCAGATAACAGGGGCTGGGTGCCAATCCACGAAGCGGCAGCTCACAATTCGAGTGAGTGTCTGAGGCTCTTGGTTCATGCAGGTAAGTAAAATTCAATGTGGAACAGCGCGATTTTTCTGCTAAATTACCCTGTCATATAAAACATGAATTAAATAATTTATCCTATCATAGTCCTACTTGTTTTGTAAATTTCTGTGTGGTTTCATATGTACCGCCTAGCTATGATAAATAGAAATTGGCATGTTGTAGTCTGTGAATGACATTTGATTTCACGTTACCTTTTCTGTCCAAGGTGGGTGTCTGCGTAGGGCCAACAATAACTGACACTGCTGTTTGAAAGAGCTGATAACTGCATGTTTGTGGATATGATGTAGGCCATGCATCTCAAATAACCCAGTTATTTTAAGAAAATAACTGCCTTGTAATTCATTGCTAAATATACTTTTTTCTCTCTATTATTCTCACTTGTAGCTCCGTCTGATGACTACATAAATTCAAAGACGTTTGAAGGCATGGGTGCGCTGCACCTTTCAGCACGCCATGGGTCTTTGGAAAGTGTTCATGTTCTTTTGGAAGCTGGGACTGACCCCAATGAAGTGACCACCGAAGCAACCACCGCACTGTTCCTAGGTGACACAAGCTTTCTTGAAATCTCAGAACAAGCGATAAGCGAGGAAAAGCTTATTCGCTGAGTTCACCAGAGTTCATTCACTGCCTGCTGTGTTTCATATTTTTGTAGCATTTGGACTCAGAGATGGAGTGGGTCTAGAGATTACTTTTTGTTTACGGATAAATCTGCTTCAGATTGTGTTTTAAAACAAAATCGTAAAATGAAATTTGCTAGTTCAGCAATTAAGGTTCATTATCTTAGTATTTTTTCTACGATTTTTGTGTGACATAATTAAATGTTTGAAAATTCTGTGATAATGAGTCCTAAGAGTCTAAATTATCTGATTAAATATGCTTATTGTTTTACTCACCTCCATACCCAGGCAAACATCATAGCTGCCACATTACCTTTTTTTACGAGTCTATTCACGTGTTATTTTTAAACAACTAAGTATCTTATTTGCTTAAAATAGTAACAGGCAGCACCTGTGGGGAAATCAGCATTAAAAGCACACTGGATAATGGTAATTAACACTATGTATAAGTGCTTACATAGATTAGACGGGACCAAGGAACAGTCCTGGGGCTGCATATCCAAAAGATTTTTAAAACAGAAAAAGTTTATGGTCAGGTTAGTCCAGGCTATGTAATGGGGTTATGGCACAGCGCTGTGTTGGACTTCAAGTACTGCAAGCCAGAGGCACTCTTTTGGCCAACTCATGGGTTAATACTCTAAAAATTATTCAAACAGTAGCAACTATTTGCAGGTCATTTATCACCTTATGAAGCTTTTATGATTACACAGGAAATGTGCCTTGGTAGAATTGTTGTTGGCAAAAACTTGAGGATGAATCAGGATGCTAAAGGAGGCTTTGTCAGTGAATGCACATACACGTTTTATGTAAGTGTTTAAAGCAGTTTTAAACTTTTTAAAAAAAGTTTAAGTTTGGAAGACTTTGTAAGACAGCCACTGGGCTTCCCAGGTTCAGGAGGCCATTGCAACTGTCATGCAGTTAGGTACTTGCTGCAGAATTGTCTCTGTGTTCCATGGCAAAGAGGGAGGAGAGAAACTTGCTTCTTTGTGGATAAATTTCCATTCTCCAACACTGTTTTGGAGGTGTAAATGTAAAAGGAAAGCAAACATATATCAGGCAAGTTTTAAACAGTTAAAAGAATTAAGATTATTCTGTCGGGAAGCTAGTGGTGAGACCATTTGAGTTTTTCAATGAGTTCTTTAAATCCAGTTCATCAGATATTTTTTTTTATTTATTTTTTTTTTAAACTGTTCTGTTTGAAGCTGTTGAAAATGGACATGCAGACATTGTAAAGTTTCTGCTCCAACATGGAGCAAATGTTCAAGGACCTCATTCTTGGTCTGGATGGAATTCTTTGCACCAAGCTTCTTTTCAGGTAACCTGTAAGTGTATCATATAATTTCCATGTAACTGTTGTATTCTGAGTGATAATTTACCTATTTCTTGGCCTTTTTATTGGTAGTTTTTTCCTAACCGACCCTAGCAGTCATGAGACGTTGTGTAAATGCTGAAGGACTTGCAATGCAGTGAGGCATGTCTGAAACTAAATGAGATGTTGATGTTGGGAAGCAATAATTATTAAGGTATTATAAGTATTGCATGTACTCACAAGCTCACGTATTGTATTTGGGAAGTGAATCTCTTACAAGGTTTTTTGAGAAAGAGTTCTGCTTAGTGATCAGAGAGCTTATGACCTATTTCCAGAATAGAAATATGTTAGCTTAATGGTTCTTATAAACTAATTTAATTTCCATTTGTATGTATCGTGTAAATGAGCAAATGTGGAAAATTAAATTCAACTTGTGTATTTTTTCTGCCATTAATTTTTCGGTACATCTTTGGAATATTGAATATATTGTGTTTTTTCTTATTTCTGTTTGGAATGTGCAGGAAAAATAGATCATGTCAATTCCCCACTTTTTAATTGTTTAAGAATAAAAATATGTATTGCAGGGATGCACGGAGATAATGCAAATGCTCCTGGAGAAAGGGGCAAACAAGGAATGTAAGGATGACTTTGGAATTACACCTTTGTTTGTTGCTGCTCAATATGGAAAGCTGGAGAGTTTAAGACTGCTTGTATCTCATGGTAATGGTGATTGTTCATTCAGCTTCATTGCTTTATACTTGTATCAACCTGTCGCTAGATTCAATTTTAATTCTACTCTTGCACTTTGTAACTTCAAATTTTAGTATTTTTTAATGTAATTTTAGTTGCAAATGGGTATGCAAAACCATCTTAATTGCTTAAATCTTGTTTCAGAAATTTAATGTAGTTTTCAGCAAGTGATGGTAGGAAATAATAAATCAAAACTACAAAAAGATTGAGGATCATCAGGGTCTTTTAGGAGCCCTGGACAGTACTGTATCAGTGGTCTGATTTTGATGACATTGCTCTTGTAATAGGTTTGTGTTCAGGCTAAGTGAAGATGTCTCTCTCTGATCATAAAGTGATAGCAATGGTTTCGTTCACATAAGAACAAGCTTTATGTGTCTAAGTGCATGTGTCCTTACACCCAAAATGAAGTCCATAACTATTAAGCCTGAGGGTGCCACAACGCGACCAGAGAAATCATACTAACTGACCTACCAATACCAGGGGTAGAATCTCAAGAAATAATTACAATCGAAAGATTGCCTAGCCCATTGCCTTTTCTCTAGCATGTTTATCTTGTGTGGGGCTGATCTTTGACAGAGTTAATGTTAAGCAATGACTGTTTAAAAAGTTAGCAGCAAGCTAGTAAATGTTTTCTTACCACTGTGGAAAACCTGTAGTGTTGTGAAGTCACTCTGTGAAAACCAACTACTGATTAACTTGAGTTTGTTGTTTGTTTAGCATGGCATAGTGGTGATGTAGAGTGTTGGCTTTTTTTGCCAGGTGCAGATGTAAACTGTCAGGCCAAGGACAGAGCCACTCCCCTGCTGATTGCTGCGCAGGAGGGCCACACAGAATGTGTGGAACTGCTGTTATCAAAAGGGGCAGATCCAAATCTCTACTGCAACGAGGATAACTGGCAGCTACCTATTCACGCAGCAGCTGAAATGGGCCATAAAAAGTAGGTGATTAAAAAGACATTCAGACAGAGGATTCTGATAGTAAAAACCTAATTGGCAAAGAGGAAGTGCAGCTCTAAAAGGAAGAAAATCGAGTTCTCAAGCTAATTTGTAGTTTAGAATTACTAGTTATTTTCATATTTTAAATATCTGTTAGTAGTCCCAGTAAAGTGACCAGCCGTTTTTAATTCAGCATCTAAACTGGGTCTGATCCATATCCTAATGAGGTTTTTCCACAGTGCTGAACCAGATATCAGTTCACTCAATAGCCATATTACTTTTTACATTATTTTAAAATATAAATAACAATAACATATGCTTTATACATGACTTGAACAGCTGCTAATTCGAATTGTACTCCTAACCGTTAAGTAGCAGAAGTAGTCATATGCAAATAATTAATTAACTGAACCAGCCAGAAAAACAAAGCCACAAAGCAGGTCCTTTAATCCTTGCAGAGCTGCATTTGTAGCTTTGTCCAGTCCCAATGATACAAGTCACTTTCACATCAGAAAGCCAGGAGTGCGAGTTCCCAGAGTAGCAGGCCATTGTGGAGAAGTATCTCTCAGAAACCCCATGATTTGCACATATGTGGCAGCATTTAAAATCAACTACATTAATGATGGGTACTAACTGCAAAACTGTTAGTAGATGCTTGATCTTAACCACTAGCTAAAGGAGATCATCAGCTGAGCTGTCATTAAAGTTTGTGCATCACGTTGATGCCTCTTCTCATACTGATGAGGAAGGCACACTGTAGTAGATACTGAGGAAGCTGGGTTTTGTTCACTTTCTCAGAAACAGAAGATGGGTTAGCAAAGTTGTCAGTACTAGAAATGTCTTTAAAATCAAATGCTGGTGTTTTAAAATCAAATTGGTGTTTGACACTAATCATTGTTAGTTGGAAAGGATGTGGACCAGAGTTGCGAGCTATGAAACAGAATGATTTTTCTGTTTCAGTATCTCGGTGAGCGTTGCTGAAGAGAAGTAAATATTCATTTTATTTGCAATTCATATTTTCAGTTTGATTTAATGGATTTAACATGTAGTGATACTCTATTGCTGTAAAAAGGTTTGTTGGATAATAGGCAGTATCTGTCCCTAGTTTGGATTAAAATACTTAATGCTAATACAGGTCTATGCCAAAGCGCAATGTTTCTTATGGATCTGTGTATGAAATGCTAAAGGTTGTTCTTCTAAGGAAGCTCAGTAGTGAGAAAACAGGTAGGATTTTCTTCTTAAGTTCTAATGACCATATGAAAAATGACCCTACATTTAAAATTAATTATAGCGTAAGATCACAAAATAAATAATGTTTTTAAATATTTGCAGGATATTAGAGTTGTTAATACCAATTACTGATCGGATTTGTGACAAAGGCAAAGGCAAAGTGAGCCCTGTGTATTCTGCAGTGTATGGTGGTAATAAAGAATGTCTGGAAATGTTACTTAAAGAAGGCTACAGTCCAGATGCTCAAGAGTGCCTTAACTTTGACTGCAGATCACCCATGTGTATGGTATTCCAAAAAGAGTAAGTATACCTCTTACATTTTGAAACTCAATTCTTGAGCTGCTGGAGTTAAACTGTGAGTATCTGAACGGTGTATGGGTTTGGATTGTGTGCACGAGCTGAAGAACCTCACTGAACTCTCTAAGGGGAAGCTCGGCTCTTTGAAGAAAAGCCTTGTAGAACATAATTACTGTTTTCATGCTTTCTGAAAGCCTTATCAACATGTCTCTGTCTTCTGGGAACATGACCCGGTGCTGTAATTGGATCAAAAGGACTCTTAAGTAGCCAGATTCTTTTCAGTAAGGAAGAGTTACTGGAAAATAGTGGCTTCCTTTTCTGCATACCAGTCTCGTGCATAAGACAAGCAGAATTAATCAGCTCAACACTATGGCTGTAAGGAGGACTGGGAAACTGAATAATACATTCTTTTAGATCATGACCCATTTCTTTTTATGCCTGGTGAGTGATGCACGCCCCTGACATTCAAAAGGAAATATAGCAGTGCTTACTTTGTAATGCAAAGGCTGTAGTTTTGGAGGAAAAATAATAAGGTATAAAAACCTTATTCCTAGGTGTATATATATGGTATGTCAATGAGGTGCTCTTCATGTTCTTATTGTTGATTTTTTTTTTTTTTTTTCCTTTAGTACAGAAGCTTCTGTTTTTCTGTGGGAAATTAATTCATGGAGGAGTGGGCTATTTACTTAAAAGATCTAGATGTTGCTGTCCCCAAGCTCGCGCTGTTCTCCTCCCAAACTAATTCAATATATCAAATAACATTCAAAGGATTGAATATTGGCACAGCTCAAATCAAGATGGCGAATCAGATTTTAGTCACCTCTTGGCAGATCTAAGCTTTGTGTAGAGCTGTAATGTCATTGTGTTTTACATTTTAATTGAGGCTTGAGAGCAGTTACCTGATACTGCTTTATGCTTTAGAACAACGGAGAAATTTCATGTGGCAGAGAATACTTTTGAAAACTTTCTTTTTTTTCCTTTGGCTAGTTGCTGTCCATCATTTCATATTTTGCCAGAATTTTAATTAGTTCACCCTTTGTAGATAGTCCTCCTTGGGAATATTAATGCAAAGTAATGTTACGTGGCTAGTGTGCTGCATTGAGGAAAATATCTTCAATGAAGGCTTTTAAATCTTCTTAAAACTCAGATTCTAACAGAATGTTTCATGTACATGGATCAAAATTTATTGCTTATGTGCTGCCATTTAAATAATGAAGTTTTAGTAGTAGTGAATTTAGTTCACCCTCATTAAAAAGTGGTTTATCCAGCAGATGCAAAAACATAGCTTTTGGGTCTGGCTTACATTCAGGAATCATGATTTTGGTTTCTCATTCTTGCCTCTTGTCTTCCACATGGGACCTGCTCTGGTTTCTTTTATTTATTTAAGAAAGAAAAATCTAAATATGCAATTTTTTAACAGTTCTTAGATTCCAGAAGTTTGTAACCTGCAAACATTTTTAGCCAAAATACTAATATTTAGAGTATGTGCCTTGGTGCCCTGAATACTATAAACAATTGAGGCTTGTACACAGATGTGTAGAAGCTATTTGAGAAATTATTTTTTTAACAGAAATCTTGTTATAATTAAAAATGGTGGTCTTGAGGTGACCTACTTCTCGCCCTCCCCGTCCCTCCCCCCGATAAAGCTGTTGAAAGAACTAACTTTGCTGGGATATTCTTCGCTTAGTATTTTTAAACGTAGGTGTTTGTAAAGTGTGTGCTTGTTGGATGCTGTTAATTAATAGGATCACACATTCTTACAGTTGGCTTAGGAAAATTTTTTTAAAAATCTACAGTGCTCTAAATAATAAATAACTTGCCAGTCATTCATAATGTTTCTGAAGTGAAAATACAGTAATATTCTGATTGAGTTTATCCTACTTGAACTAAAAGGGCTTATTTCAAAGAGGGAAGTCAAGGACAGAATTACTTTAATAGTGAAAGTACATCCCAGTGACCGCCTGTTACAGCCTCTTGTGTCTCTGGTCAGGCTGCAGGTGATTTTGCTTGAGGCAGGAACTCATCCAGATCCAAAACAACGCATGTGAAATCACGCATCAGGGTACGACGCAGAATGTGCTTTTCCGTATCACCACACATGACGTATAAGGTGTGCAGTGAAGCAGTGCATAGGGTTATTACTAATTTTCATTGCAGACTCCTAGGAAGTTGTTTTTAAAAATCCTTGGACATCATTTTTCCCCTTCTGTCCTATTCTTGGTATATAATAAATAATTTAGGAAGGGACGCAGACCAGGTCACTACAAAAACATACTGTAAAGGAGGCAGGTAACATATCTCACCACTTCAAAACCACTTCTGTGAAGTAATGTGCAATCTAATTGCTAACTAAAAAGCAATACTAATTACCAGTCATAATCTCATTCATGATCAGATTACCATATTATAATTGATAATGATAAAATTACTTTAGTAAAAACATTCTAAAATGTTTACAGTAGTTCAGTGGATTGCAGAGCTTCCTGCAAATACAGCTGGATGTAAATCAAATCCTTAACAAGTTTGAACATGAGGCTGGTGCCTGAGTTCTAGGGTGCAGTCGTCTGATATTTTCGCACACTTGTCCATGTATTGCATGTGGTATATTTTTAAGGTGAAACCTGATCAAGTGGGCACAGTGCTTTCTGCTTAGAGCAAGCGTGCGGCGGATCAGCAGCATGGTGATACCTCTGGGTTACAGATACCAGTAATCGAAGACTTTGGGCAGTTTCTGTTTGGGATCAAAAGGCTTGCTTTGAAGCTGGTTGCAACCATAGGTTTTTTCAGGACAAAAAGAACAAATGTGTTAAATGTAAGGGCTGGAGTCTGCTGAACTAGTTCTACATTTTAAACTGGCACTTCCCGCAAAGAACTGCAGTCAGAATGGCATGCTGGGTTATTCTCTGGTTTGGGGGAATTTTTGGTAGAAGAAATTTGCGTTCTTGGAGGTAAGAAGTGAAATGGTAGATGCTTTCTGGGGAAGAACTAACAGGATGTCCTGTTCCTTGTGTGCTGTTCATAGGTTTTTTTATTTCATTGATATTTTCCTGAAATACGGGATCACCTTACTTGGGATTAATTTGGGATATTGCCTGTTCCATGAAAAGTTTACATTATTTCAACGCTTCTTGAAACTGGGCTGTTCACTGCCTTCTGAGGACCAGTTACCAGAATTCATAAGTTACACAATTAAAGCGCATGAGGAGTACAAGGAATGGCTGCCTTACCTGCTCTTGGCTGGTTTTAATCCAGTGAATTTAATGCAAAGATTCTGGTAAGAAGATAGCGTTATCTTGTTTACTTAAATATTTTATGCTAATCTGAAAAGCTGTTGGCAATGCTATTAAACGTATGCTTTCAGAGGATAGTACTTGCTAATTAGTTGTCATGATCGGAATGGTGAGGCTTAAGGAAAGAAAGTCTGAAATAAATCATTCACGGGTAATAGCTGGACACAGTAAAACAAATTTCTTTCAGGAAGAAAGCCAGAATGGAGATTGCTTTATCACTACTCTGGAGAAAGGTATCATTTTGCAATTTTTATATCAAACGTCTCTTGTTAGTCCCCAAATTTAGCTGCAAATTGTGTATGTATGTATAATATGGTAATGGTAAGAAGAATTTCAAATACCGAGAAAGAGGTCAGGACGGATGGGAAACGAATGTAAGGTGAAGCTGGGCCAAGGCTAGGAGGAGAGGAAACGGATGCAGTTAGAGACTGTGTTAAACAAAATTATGTGGCAAAAATTCTAGTATTTTTTTGTTGTTTTTTTTAATCCTTCCACGTACAAATAGCTGCTTGATGATGTTTCATATTTAATTAGGCATACAGAATTAAAGTTATAATTAAAATTATAACTAATTATATTTAAATAAAGTATCTGTTGCTACTGCTGTTTTTTCTTGTCTGTGAAGATGACGCTTAGACTTCAGTACCGTATGTCTCGGCTGTTAACAACATGTGAGATGTATAAACTCGTTACATGCATTACTGAACTGTATGAAAGGAGTAGGATTTTAAGGATTACTTAAATACTGCTGTCTATTTCAGATACTGTTAACATATCATTGGTAGTCTTAAATACATTCATTTAGGACTTTGAGATTCTGTTGATCAGTAGCATCCATGGCTTTCTGAACAGTAATTAGAGGAGCATATATAAAGCATGGTATATCTGTGCTTCTGTAGATCATATTTATTCATGGAAGACTAAGTGATTGCAAAAGTAAACACGCTACAATATTGCAATTCAGTGAATAAACAAATCTCTCTGACCATTTATATCATATATGATGCTTTTTTATATTTTGTTACATAATCCACAAATACTTTTATACCAGTTACTTCCTTTATTTAAATATCCACTTTTAAAAATAACACTTATCACATCATAATCTACAAAACTAATGTTTTTGTAAGTTTGACTTCAGTATTAACTGTTCTGTCCTGGAAGATAACAGGAGGACAGTAGACAGCAAATTACATTTATGCATATGGTTCATTAACTGTCTCTGGCTCCTTGTGCAAAACAACTGTATAATCAGTCATAAACTGTTCAGTCTAGAGCACTAACAATTTTAATTACCAGTGGGAAAAGTAAAATCACCATTCTCTTAAAGAAAACTAGGCAACCAGATCTCTCTCCTGTATGGTTTTCAGTGATTGTATGAAAGTTCAGTGAAATATGAAAAATTAAAAATTAAAACTAGAAAGGACATAAAATAATTTTGACATGAATCTCTTGTATAAATCAAGTGTATTAAAACCTTTTAGTGTGGTATTTTTGTGTCTTTAGAGCATTTAGATTGCTATTCAGATGAAAATTCAGGATTGTATACATCTAACGGAGAGGCTGTTCTGCGAAATTGCACGGCTCTTCATTGTGTGTAATACTAAAGAAGTTGGTTTACCTGCTGTTACTTAAACCTCCGTATACACTTTATTCAGTTAAGCTCTTGTTAAAGCTCTTCACACATACTAAAAATCTGAAATGTAAATCATACATATAAATGCAGTCTCTGGTAGAATGAGAGTTGGAAACACTTGCAAATTTTGAGGTTGTGTTATTTTGTTTTAATAAAAAAGTAGCTGAATATATGTGCATTTTTTCCCCAAAAGTGATGGTAATGCTTATAATGCTTTGGTGTCTTGAACCCTTATTAAAATTTAGGGGGAAATGGAATAGAAATCAGTGCAGAGGAGAATGTTGTCTGTTACTGAGGCATTTAAATTTCAGAGCAGATATTATTCTCTTACAGTCTAACTTACCTTTAAAAAGAAATGGAGGAAGATAAAATTACATTAGTAAAGGCTTGTGCTGTCACAATGAATTTGGATTTCTCTTTAATGGTTTTCTGTTTCTGGGCTTAGGATTTAAGTTGTTCAGGATTTGTTAGAAAATAATAAAGCTTTCTATGTGTCATTTCCATTATTACATTTGTGCTGTTGTGTAAAAGGATATTTTATGGGAGTTTTTTTTATGCAGGATTTTCTCTGTGAGTGAGAATGCCCTTAATTTCATCCTGGAGTTCACGAACTGGAAGAGACTTCCTCTAGCTGTAGAGCAAGACCTTTCAGACAGAGAAAAGTTCACTTGGACTCCCAAGAGCCATTTTGGTAAGCAGTACAATTGGGAAAAAAAAGTTTCTGTATGCCAGCTTTCAGGCTGTAAGTGGGAAACAGCGTCCTAGTGCACAATGGCAAAGAAAGTTCAATAGTCAATAGACATTGCTTGTATAGAAACTGGGAGCAGAAATAGCAGGTTACCCTATACAAACAAACAAGAAAAAATATTTGAATGAATTTTACCCATTACAGTGTTCAGTTCAGAGTTGGCTTGTTTCAGTAGGTATGCTCAGTTTAGGCTGTCTTGTCCATTTCAAATTAATGCATGTGCTATAAGATAGAGGTAATGACTGCAAATTAGTATTGCACCTTCCTGGAATTATTTGTTCAGCTTCTTGGAAGATTTAAGGGAAGATGATCAATATTACTTGGTTGTGTTTTCTAGACAATATCTCACTTATTTTTTTTTAATTTGATTTGTATTTCCAGTGAAGTGTCTGTCTAGTTCTGTAAGCATTTGACAGTAATTAAAATATAATCCACATAAAATATAATATTAAATACCTACAAATCTAGCTGTTCATTGTTGCTCCTGTAATCAAAATGCGGTCAGCCAAAAAGATTCAAAATTGATTGTCAAGGAAAACACGTGTGCTCACTGTGTTCACTGTTCAGAAAAGCAGCTTTAATATATGGGTCATGCTGTATGACCTGTCACTGAAAATCTGCGCTCAGGTGTCTCTGTTAATGATGCATTTAAAAGCAAATTCTTCTTTAAAAGGGTCTGTAATAATTTTTAAAATGTCTAAGTGATAGTTTTATTAAATAATACTTCCTTCAGAATATTTGAAGCTAATTATCATATCTTTTTGGAGTTTAAAAAAAAAAGGTTTTATTTGGGGAAATTTAGATGAAGTTCTTTGTTTCCTTTGCAGTTAGTAAATATATTTGTGTTGTAAGGCTGTAAGTGGGACTTACTACAGTAACTAAGGCTGAAGAGAGAAAGCAGAGGGAAAAGCAGGAGGCGAGGTTTGAAAAGTTTTCACTTTTTCACTCTTTCAGTGAAGAGAGTGAGGGCAAGCAGGCCAGCTGCTGTGCTGAGAGGCAGGCTTCCCTGCTTGAGAGGTACCAGGCACTCAAACTGACATAAGCTGGTCATGTGAGTGAGCATGGGAAACTAAAAATGAAGGGTTCATGTGGAAAAGTTCAAGAACGGGTGTCCACACCTCCAGCTGAAGGCTTGCAGCCTGCTGTACTTACCCTTCTGTACTGAAATACAGAAACGATTGCAGTTACTATTACAGATTCCTTGTGAATAAAATAAATGGAGAAGCCACTCGAGAGTTTGGAGGCACCAGAGTTCCGTATCAGGATAAGTTGATCTATAAGGTGAAAGTTTGTGTTTGAGCAAGTGCACATTTACAGACATGTTTGTGTATCTTTTGGCACAGTGGTTGTCCGAAGTCATTTAGCAACATGTTAGAACATTTGGCATTGTATGGCAACCGAGTCTTGCTGTCATTTCATACTTATACTAAAAGTGTTTTCCCTTGTGTTATTTTGTTGCTGGATTTACTTCTAGACAATTTTTCATTTCTTGTAAGGTGGTATCAGCCTCTCTCCCTCCAAGCAGGTAGCTGTTCTAGGCTGGTTAGGTGAAACTTTCTGATTGAGGATAAAATGATTCTTTGATACTTTGTTTCTACAAGCTTGAGGTAACTTTTTGAGCCCCTACAGGGGAATGCCAAAAATGCTAACTCTAGCAGACAACAACCCTTCACCGCTGAGAACTCTACCTCATCATTGTCTGCCAGAGAGACTGGGGGCTGGGGTTCGGATGGGATACAGCTAAACCAGGTAGCTGTAGACAAACGATGTAATCGCATGGTGTCCTGTTGACTGTTTGACTTGGCTTTTAATTTTTCAGCCTTCATTCCTTCCCTGTCTCATCTTTGTCGTCTTGAGATCCGGTCCATTTTAACGAGTGAACGCCTGCGATCGAACCGATTTATCCGGGAATTGCCATTGCCAGCTTGTCTCCAGGATTACCTTCTCTACTTAGATATACTGCGAGCCAACGCTATCCCAGAAGCGGAGGATTATCTGCGGCAGAGAGAGGAGGGAGCTCCCTCTGCCAGTCACTCCAGCGCTGAAGACGCAGAGAGGAGGGACATCTGCAATGCTGGTGCTAGGTGATGGCGCTGCCAGTGAATGAACTCCGTGGCTGCAGATTTTGTAATGGCAATTAGCAGACACCAGAGAAGAACTACTGTAAATAAGTGTAGTAATAAGTCTTTTCATGCTGTAGTCTTATACTATATCTAGCAGTTTGTTAGAAGCTCTGTGACTTGTTTAAAAAGTCTGTTGTAGCTTTATAAGCACTTTCTGGTTTTTGAAAGGAAATTTTTAACTCTTACGGAGTAAAATTAGCTTGTTCAATGAACATAGCTTATATAGTGGTCAAAATCTATTTGGTCAGACACTGTTAGTAGACGCTTTATTCCGAGTACTGCATATACCAAATGAAATTATCTGAAAGTAAAGGAACCCAGTATTGTATTATTGTTATGAATTTACATGTCGGGGAGTTATCTAGCTGTACCAGAGATAGGAAAATAATATATGAAAGGAAATTGTTTGCTGAAGGAACAGTGATTTTTTTGTTTGTTTGTTTGCTTGGTTGTCTGTATTTGGCAGAACGTTGGAGTGGGAGCCTGCACTCAGTCCCTCCCTTGCATAGCGCATGGGCAAGGCGTGACATGTCCCCACAAGCACACCGACACAACACCGCCGTACAAAAATCCCTCCTTCAATGAAGTGAAAAAGCAACTGCCATCCTCGTGAGGTTGGTGATAGGGACAGGGCAGGGACACTTTGGTGGAAGACAGCTGCATCCCTCACACTGGGAAAGCCCTCATCCTCCAGAAGCAAAGCCGTCACTGCTGGGCTCACTGGTAGTAGATGCTAAAGGCGTGGAGGATATACAGGAAGGTCGTGACGAAGGCGAAGAACTGCACAAGAGGAAGAAGAGCAAAAGCTGGGGTCATCTGGGAGATCCTAACCCCATCTCCTCTGCGTGTTCTTCACCTGGGGAACCCTCCCAGCCCAGAGCTCTCTCCAGTCTCATAGAAGGGACAAAGCCCCCACAGTTCCCAGGAGGCAGCCACGCAAGGCTGTCCATGAGCTGCTGGACCCTGAGAAGCCCACACTGGCTGCACAATGCAACAGAGATGAACTGAAGCTCTGACCAGTGTGACACTGATGGTCTTGGGACGGCTCTGCTGTGTCTTTAATATTTGCTCCTGCGTCTCCCCGAGCGGAATTGCAGGGGCTCTGGCCTGCCTGGGGTTTTCTGGACCAACTCACCGATGCAGCGCTGTTGAGCTGGTAGTAAAGTGGCGAGTTGGGGCCAGACTCAGATCTGATGGTTGCATTGGCCTGCAAGACAGCAGCGCTCATGTACAGAATGGATGTGGCGCCATGGTACAAACTGTCCTGCAAAGCAAGGGAGCGGCGAGGATCAAAGCCTGCCCAAGACCGTCCTTGTCTGATTCACCCCGAGGACAAGGTCCATCCTCTGCATGTGCAAGTGCTTTAATGGGACACACCAGCCCAGACAGAGGCTGGGACCAAACCCCTGTACCATACCGAACCCTCCCCTGCGCCCACACAGCACCCATAGCATCGCACAGCCTCCCTCGGCCTTTCCAGTCAAGGCAACAGGAGGAAAGGGCCGGTTGTTGGCAGAAGGCCCGCAGCTGGCCGGCTAATCCATCACCAGCCACAGTGCCCACACTGCTGCTGCCAACATCTGCCAGTGTCCCCGCCCCTCCTTACCAGCACTTTCCAGTTCTCGCTGTTTTTGTGAAAGCCGAAGAGGTAGCTTAAGAGGAGCAGCAGGGAGATGAGGGAGGAGCTGAGGGACACATACATCACCCATCCCTGCAGCAGCGGGAAGGAGACAGAGGTAGCAGCGATGAGGATCCACACCCAGGTCCCGCAAAACTGCCAAACACAGGTGCCTCTGATAAGCGTGGGATAGGGAAGCTCCTCCTGCTCCTTGAGTCCCTCCTTGCCTCCCTGGCCAGCCCCAGCAGCTGCTGGAAGCCCCACATTTTTGGGCAGCAGGGACCAGCCTCCTGGAGCATCCCGGCACGACAGCAGCACCACAGCCTGGCACAAATTTCCCTGAACGCTCTAGGGAAATACCTCAAAACGTTCCCTACAAAAAGGAAAGGTTTGCTGCTGTGTGCGACGCGAGGAAACATCTCACCCGGAGGGCTCTGGCAGAGAAGCCAGAACACGTGCTTTTATCTGGGAAAGGTGAACAGCCGTGTCAGCCCAGCCCTGCCCGCTCATTAACCTCCTGGGCTTGAAATCACGGCACAAGGAAGTCTCCTGACTCCACACACCAGCCCAGAGTGAGTCGCTCGCTCTGGATCCCCCTAAAATATTTACCATGTACAAATAGCACACGGGGTTATCTGGACAAGCTCACGCCGCCCTGTGCCGTTCCAGCTCTGGTGGATGAAAACCCCCCAGATTTGCAGTGGGGAGCTGAGCCCGTCGGCACGGGCAGCTCACAGCACAGCCCAGCCACAGCGACTGTGCCCATGGAGCGCGTAGGTGGTGTGGGTCGCCCGTGCTGTGGCATGTGTCAAAGTACACCAGCAGTTATCTCAGCCAGGCCCACCAGATGCCCTCTGGACCCAGAAGCAATGGAAAGATGCATGGAATGTCACACTTTAGAAGGCACCCAGTTTCCTTCAAGTTCTTGGAAAGACTTCAGAGAACAAAATTCCTGTGATTTTCAAGCAATTTCTATGCAGTAACTGGAGCTGCTTCTGCCCCAAAGGCACCGGCAGTCCATCAGCCCCTCCCCGCCCTACGGCAGCCGACAACCCCCGTGCGGGCTCTGGGATGGAGCTGGAGTGTATCTCATCCTCAAGCTCTTCCAAAAACCACCTTTATGCATTCAGTATAAGCTAAAAGAAAAGACAAGTCCCATTAATGCTGTCTTCGGTGTCGTTTTGGGGGCTGCTCCCTGATTTTTAGATTTGCTCAAGCCACTAGCGGGGTGCTGTAACGCAGCAAAGCTCAGCATACTCACTATCTCCGGTAGGATGAACAGGTAGGGGACAGTTTTGAAGACGGCGACTCCGGAGGGCAAGGCAGGCTGCGTGGCGGCCGCGGGGGGACACGACAAGGCCATGTCTCCTCAGCTGACGCTGCAACCGCTCTGGCTTCGCTCCACTTGCATTTGCCTGTGCCGCTCCCGTGCAGGGTTTTAACCGACACACCCGCAGGGACGTAATCACAAGAAACCAGCCCAGGCTGGCACTGCGCCACTTCCTCCGGCTGAAGGAGCCCTCAGCAGCTCTCCGGTTATTGCAGCTGGCTTCACACACCCTGCCACCAACACTGGGACAGGAGAGCAATGGGACCCCAGCCCCGCCACTGCCACACGATCAATTCAAGGTGTTTAACCAGAGGGGAAAGAAAAAGAAAATTCTGCACCACAATGGGCCAGAAATGTTTCCTGCAATCAATTTTTGTCCTTGGCACACTTTCAAGCCTGAAATATTTTTGCTGCCACTGTTTTTGTCTCCTCCCTGTTCTGTTCAGGTTTCTGCTCTGTGTTCACGTCAGACTTCCCCACACCTACTGGGCACATCCAGCCTTTGAAAACTTGCAGCCAAACATTGTTTACAGCCAACGCAACACCCTGGTAAAAGATGGGAGGGTTTGCCCACATGCTCCTAAGTGCCTGGAAAGGTCTGAAGGACAGCTACCAGGAGAGCTTTGATTTCTACCTCCTGGCAGATGTGCTATGGATTCAACAAGCACACACTGTTTTTTCCAGAGGACTCTGCCTCACCCCATAACTCACCGATAACTGGTGGGACGAAAGGCTGAAGGTGGCATCTCTGCCTTGTGGCCTAGAGAGGACAGAAGAACTCCACTAACTCAAACAACACTTGGCAGCAGGAGGAGGAGGATATCTTAGTAAGATATCATATCTCTCCATTTGAAGAGCCAAGTGATGCCCTAGGAATCTGGCTTCTGTGCCAAGCTCTTGTGCAATACGGAGCAAAGATCAAATCCATGATGCTTCTTATTGTCCGAGTGCCTCCTAGGCTGAGGGTCGGGGGAAGTGCTTTGCAGCATTTCTGAAGGCTCCAGTTTACGCATGCTTTCAGTGGGAGCTGGCTTCGGGCTCCATGCAGTGTGCTGTGGTCTGTGAAAGACCTTGTTTTAAAGCACGTCACACCAGACAACATCAGTGCCTGGCCTGGACTTAAATCCACATGCGACTCGGTACCCGCCTACCTCTTTGGACCCGGTGGCAACGTACCTGTCACCATGCAGAAAGCATCCAGACACTCCAGCACGAAAGAGAAGCTGGATTAAAAACTTCCCACTGGGAGTGGGCAGCACGTACAGCCTGTGGTTACACACGGCTCAGGGAAAAGAACACCCTGGTCCACCCAAGGAATACCCCGCAGCTCACTAGCCTGCCCTAGAAAATCAGCACAGAGGGCAGCTACCGTTCAGCACAGCCATGCACGGGAAATGCAGCATTCCCTGAATTCTCATCAGCTTTTATTTGTATTAGGTGGGTCAAGAACATTCCTATGAATGACCCAACCTTTTCCTGTGTGGAAGAGACAGTAAAACAGTCTAAATTCAGAGCAACCTGCTGTCCACTGATTGGACAAGAGATGATGTTTTTTTTTCCTAACCTGGCTGACCTTGCTCAGCAGCATTCTTAAAGATCATTGGAAAAAGAGTCTTTTGTTCACCCTGATTAAAACAAAACTGGAAATTAATTGGAAGCTGCATGAGAGGAGAAAATTGCTGCCTCAGCATTTGCTCAGCTTAGGCAAAATACGACACTCGACATGGCTACAACAAGTACATGTACAGACAATCATAGTCTTGACTAACATTGCAAAGGGGAAAATTTAACATATATTTCTATTAGTTAAACTGATAAATAATTTTAGTCTCTCAAAATGCTAAATATGTTAAAATGCTCATTACCATTCAGATAGTACACAGTTTCTTTCTTTAAAAATTTATTTATATTGATACCCTGTTCTTACATAGCCCGTGTTGTTCTTCTACAATCCATTCATACTCCAGGATTGTTTTTCCTCACTTCTCCTAAGAAATCGTAAGCCAGCTCTGAGATA